AAAAAAACTCCACCAGAAAATGTTTAGAGCTCATAAACAAATTCAGCAAAGTAGCAGGATATAAAATTAACAGCAATAAATTAATTGTGTTCCTATACACCAATGATGAATCAGCCAAAAGAGAAATTAAGAAACCTATCCCATTCACAATACCCTCAAAAATATAAAATAAAGTATATGGGAATGAATCTAACAAAAGAAGTGAAGAACTTTTCTACTAAAATGAAACCTACAGAACACTAAAAAAAGAATTGAAGAAGACCTTAGAAGATAGAAAGATCTCACAATGTTCTTGGATAGGCAGAATTATTATTGTCAAAATGTCCATACTACCAAATGCACTATACAGATTTAATGCAATTCCTATTAAAATCCCAATGACATCTTTCGTAGAAATAGAAAAAGCAGACATGAAATTCATTTGGAAAATAAGAGGCCCAGAATAGCCAAAGCAATCCTTACCAAAAGAAGTGAAACAGGAGGCATCACAATACCAGACATTAAAATATACTACATAACAACAGTGACAAAAACAGCATGCTTGGGCTGGGATTGTGGCTCAGTGGCAGAGTGCTTGTCTAGCATGTGTGAGGCATTGGATTTGATTCTCAGCACCACATGTAAACAAATAAAGATCCATTGACAACTAATAAAATATTTTAAAACTTAAAAAATAGCGTGTTATTGGTACCAAAACAGACATGAAGACTAATAGAACAGAACAGAAGACACAGAGACAAATCAACATATATTTAGTTATCTCATACTAGACAAAGACATCATAAACATACATTGGAGAAAACATAGCCTCTTCAACAACGGTGCTGGGAAAACTGGAAATCCATATGTAGCAGAATGAAATTGAACTCCTATCTCTTGCCTGCACAAAATTCAACTCAAAGTAGATCCAAGGTATTAGAACAGAGAACCTGTGCCTTTACTAGAAGAAAAATTAGCCCCAAGACTCTATCATGTCAGCATAGGAACTAACTTCCTCAACAAGACTCCTAAAGTGCAAGTAGTAAAATCGAGAATCAATAAATGGGATGGTATCAAACTAAAAAGCTTCTTCACAGCAAAGGAAACAATCCAGAAAGTGATGAGAGAACCTTCAGAACAGAAGAAAATCTTTGTCACCTGCGCTTCAGAGCATTAATCCCCAGGATATACAAAGATCTCAAAAAACTTAACAAAAAAACAATAACTCAATCAATAAATGGGCAAAGGACCTGAACAAACACTTCACAGAAGAAGAAATATGAATGGTCAACAAATATATGAAAAAAATGTTTAATATCTCTAGCAATTAGAGAAATACAAATTAAAACTACACTGAGAGTCTAACTCAAGTAAGAATGGCAATTATCAAGAACAAAAGTAACAATAAATGTTGGCAAGGATGTGGGGAGAAAGGTACTCTTATACATTGTTGGTGGGACTGCAAATTGGTACAACCACTCTGGAAAGCAGTATGGACATTCCTTAGAATACTTGGAATAGAATCATCCTTTGACCTAGCTATCCTACTCTTCAGTTTATACCAAAAGGACTTAAAAATAGTATTCTACAGTGGCACACCCACATCTAAGCTATGGAACTAAGTGCCCTTCAACCAACCTAGGCTAACAAAATTTGATATATATACACAATAGAGTATTACTCAGCCATCAAGAAGAATGACTTTATGACATTTGCCAGTAAATGGATGGATCTGGAGAATATTATGCTAATTGAAATAAACTAATCCCCAAAAAACAAAGGTCAAATGTTCTCTGATACGTAGATGCTAGCACACAACAATGGAAAGAGTGGAAGAATCAAGTTTAGTAGATTAGACAAAGGGGAATGAATGGAAGGAGGTAAGAATAGGAAAGACAATGGAATGATTATGACATAATTTCCTATGTACATGTATAGATATATCACAGTGAATCTATGTCATAAACAATCATGAGCCTGTGATCCTAATGACAGTACTATATACTCCATGTTTGTATAAATGAGTCAAATTATACTCTACTGTCATATGTAACCAAAAAGATCAAAAATTAAGAAAATAAATGCAGAACTATTAAATATGTAGATATATATGAGATAATTTTTCTTCTGAAATTCAGCAAAGTATTTTACTGTTCAAAGTAAAAATTCAAGTATTATATATTGAAATTTATAAAGTTTAAATAAAATATGACAATAACTTTATAAGTAATTTGAAGAAGTATATACAACTATAATTTTGTGAGATTATTATACCATATGTATAACATTATTTAAAGTTAGAAAGTTAGATAGTAAATAACACATACTGTAAGCCCTGAAGAAATCACTGAAATATTGGAACAAATATGAATAACTATCAAGATAAAACAAATATGAATGCTCAACTAGTCCAAAATGAAACAAGAATGGAAAAATATTATTTATTTGTAAGTATCTTTTAAAAAGTAAGTGATTTAAATGCTATTTTATTAAAGAATTGTATGCATAAAACAAGACAAATAAATTTAGATTATAACAATTCACGTTTATAAATGTCCAAAAAAATTTAATATGTTCAACACTGGGAATTGAACCCAGGGCCTTGCACACATCAGGAAAGGCCCTAGGTTTATATAAGCACTGGGTTAATGATCAGCCTCAGGCAGGTGGGGCAAGATGTCAAAGCCAACTCCTGGGCATGGGGATCTTTAAACCTCTCCTTTGAATCCAGGCTCTGAGACCCTGGACCTGCAGTGGTCAGTGTTTGTCTGGGTAGAGTCTGAGAATCTGGGAGAGGGACCACAAATAGGGTGAGAACTAAAAATGAACAGCAAGGTGTTCATTGAGTGGAAAAATAAGATATTTTAAGAGGTTTTACTAGTTTTACTAAGAAAGAGCAGCAGGGGTGCCGCAGTCTGGCTGGGCACAATCAGGAGCCACTTGTCAAAAGAAACTAACTTTATTATTAGAACCACACACACCAAACAAAACAGCCTCTCAGGAAAAACCCTCAGAGCCCCAACTGCCACCACCAGCTTCCCACAAGCCTCTCTCTCCAACACAAGCTTCTCCACCTCCCACAATCCTCCTGGTCTTGAGGCCCATTGGCTGGGTCGCGTGGGCAGAGCCAAAAAAGTCCCCCAACGAGCAGCTCTGTGGTCTGAAAGGGCAGGGAAACAGCCCAATGAGCATCACCGAAGAGAAGCCAATCAGCTAGATGTTGCTGGGGCTGCTGTGAGCCAATCATCAGCTGGCAGTCTGAAAGTTTGCTGGGGCCCCTTAGGCTGTGGCTCTCAACACAGGGGAACCAAGGATGGGAGAAAGATGAAGGTGAAAAGGCCAGAACAGGATTAGGGGGGACAGAGGTGATGGTTCATTGCAGAATATTTAAGATTCTTGACCAAAAAAAATTATTCTTAAAGATCAGCAAAGTAGAGGTAGGGAATCAAGAAGATAAAGGGGGTGGGAAAAAGAAAAGGGGAATAAAATAAATCAAAATTATTCTATACCTATTGATGTATTACAATAAATTCCACTTTTGTGAAAAATTATAATGCACCAATGGGGGAAAAATACATGTAAATAAATAGAAGACCAGAGAATAAAGGAGATGAATAGGGGAAGGGAGAAGGGGAGGAAGAATGGGAAGTGTATTGGAGCAAATTATGTGCATATACAAATATGTCACAGTGAGCATAACATAATAAAAGAAAAAGAAAAGACAAAAATTACCTCTTGTAATTGAAATTAATTATGCATTTAAAGAATTACAAATTTCCATATTTTTCTGGAGCAAGTAATATGAGTGGACTTCATATGACACATCAGGACGCTGGCAGCTCAAGCAGAAAATGTAAACTGGTAGGCAGTGCTATGGAGTGGGCTGGGTCAAAGGTTTTAATAATGAGTGAAACAATATAAAAAAATCAATGGAGCCAACCCTCACCATACGCAGCCCTGGGGAGTGGGTTACAATTTCAGGTAGCCCAGTGCATATTTGGCAAACAAAGCAACTGATGAGTGGGTGCTCCTGCAGTACAGTTGTAGGTCCTCAGCTTGTGGACTGCACTGAGCCAGATCCCTGATGGGCCTGGAGTTTGGGTTGTGAGGAAAACTGGAAAATGGAGCTAAGAAAGCATGAAGACAGAAATGCAAAAGGACCATGTTTGTGCTGTCAAGGTGGTGGGTATCCTGGCTTTAATACCAAAAGTGAGTCTCCACAGTGTGTCCACACTGTGAAGTATTTAGCAGAACTCCTGAAACACATGTGCTCAGGCATGCTACCTTCTGCTTTCCAATGATAATCATGATCAGTCATAGAAACATCCTCAAAGATTGAGTAATTATGAAAAGATGAAGATAATATACATTTGGCTGCACAGATGAGCATTTGGACCAGTTTTTTATTTACCTAAGACATTAGCATGATGAAGGAGCCAGGATAGTTGTGGAAGGTCATGGAGAATAACCAGAACACTTGTTCCAAAGGGGACTATGTTTTTGTCTCAAAATAGAAGACAGTGATTTTGATTCAAATAGAGGAGGAAAATGGTGATCTAGTTCCTGGCCACAGTTTAGAAGGAATGGACTTCCAGCATGAACAATAGGACATGAAGCACAGAGAGATTGATGCCAAGGAGGCAGAAGTCAGGGCAGGAGTGAGCTGTACCTGTCAACCTCCTGAAAAGTACTTCCCTGCTGAAAGGGAGGACGACCATGGGTCTCCGTTCTTCCACTTAAACAGCACACTGTATTGTGTAGCTACAGAAGCAGTGACCCAGAGCCTTGTTTCCAGCTGACACAAAAACTCCAGGAAGTAATTTCCAGCTTGGAAGCATTTCTCTAACTCTTCTCAAGATAGCACTAAAACAACATGTAAGTAACGTATGAATAGTTCTCCGGAGGGGGGAAAATGAGAAATAATTGAGTACAAATTGCCTCATGAGACACTTCAGGTAAGGGCACTGCACTAAGCTCATTCAAAGGAACAGAAGTGTCTCTGGGAGGTCCTCCTTTCCCACCTCTGGCTCCTGCTTTCATACAACCTGCAAAAGCGTGAGACCTCAGTTCCACACTCTCACCCATCAGACTCGTCCAGAAAATGGCGCCTACGATCCCGTTGCCTGAGCCGGTGTCAGTAGTCTCTTCTGAAATCTCCTCTGATGTGCCAGTCACGAGAAGAAGTACAGCAAAGGGGAGGACCTGGTGTGTGGGGGTACCACCACATCACTGCATTCCATTATGACGGAACTATAGAGGGCGTGGTGGAAAGAAACTGTCCCCTTCCCGAGAGCAAGTTTGGTTCCAGGAGCAGATCTGGAGTCTGGAAGCACTTCCGGTCACTCCTGGACTGCTCAAATCCAACACGTTGACTTCATGAATGAGTTGAGCAGAGGGAAGAACCGCAAGAACCTGGACACCAGCTGCCTCTTTTGGCACAATTGGAAAACGCAATGCTCCAACGTGCTGCAAGAGAATGGGAGCGGCACCAGCGTCCTGTCTGCAGGTGCGGTCCCCCATCTCATACCCTGAGTCTAAACCCGCTGCCTCCGGAGGAGAACCAAATTCTGTGTCATCTCTTTCTAGCAACATTGGTCAAAGTGTGCCCTTCTGCCTCCTCATCCCTGGGCAGGCTGGCCAGGGATCTGCAGTTGTGTTCTGGGAATTTATGACTGTGCTGTTGGGTTCCAAGGATGTTGGTGAGGCCCTGGTGGTATCCTCTCCTGAGAAGAAGCATACTGGGGAACTGAGTTCTAGAATGTTTGAATCTGGTGCTGTCTTCCAACAGAATAAGAAGGTCATGAAAAGACTGAAGTAGGAAGTCTGGCACCATTTTTTCACTGGGTCCCTGTGAATAGTTTTGAGTCAGTATGTCTACACTGCAGCTGGGTCATCATGCCCGGGGAAGAAAGGGAGCTTAGGCACCAGCCATTTGTGCTACAGATGCCACCATGAAAATGTTAGAATTAAAAAGGGCTTTCTGGGTACAAGTTTGGCAAACTCCATGGAAAATTCCTCCTCCAAATTAACTGGCTTTTTCTAATGATTTTTGTTTGTTTCTTCTTTTTATTCTTGTTATTTGTTTTGGTACCAGGGATTGAACTCAGAGGCACTGAACCATTGAGCCACATCCCCAGCCCCCTGCCCTTTTTTTTTGAGACAGGGTCTCCCTTAATTGCTTGGGCCTTGCTAAGTTGATAAGTCTGGTTTCAAACTCGCAATACTCCTGCACTGGGATTAAAGGCATGCAAAAAAATAATAAACTGGCTTGCCAGAGAGGCCAGAAAAAAATAATGTATTATATTTCCCATTAATAGCAAGAAGAGCTCAAAGCTGTAGTCATTTCTCTATTTGCTCTGCAGAGTCCCTAAAGTGGTATGCTTACACTGTGGCTGGACCAGCAGCAGCAGCAAGAATCCCACCAACCAGGGCACCAGCTGCCTCCTAACATCTGAAGAGGTTCCATGCCACCTGCTCAAGACCCATGTCTCAGAGACCACCCTGACCCACTCTTCAGGCATCCAAGGGCCACTGATCATGGAGTTATCTGGCACTACTCCTTTGACAACCTCAGTGAGAAGTTTTATGACCCTCACTCAGCCCCCCCCCCCCACAACACACAAAAATCACGTCTCATTGCTGAAATGATTGCATTTGGCCTTCAGCCATATTCTTTTGTAGACGATGTTGGCTTTAAAAGGTTGCTCAAATGCTTGAAACCTCAATACTCTTTGCCTTCTCTTTCTTACTTGTACAGGACAGCTATCCTGGGTATGAATGTCAATGTAAAAGAATATGTCACAGCTGAAATAAGCTGACAGTGATGTGGTCCTTCCAGAATATGGATGAGTAACCAGACCCATGAGTACCTGACCCTTATGACTCAATGTAGGTCCTACCACATTGTGAGGACCACTGTTGTTTGGCATTTTTGGTTGTGTCACATCAATTGTGACCACAGTGGCAAGAGCATGCAGAAGCCTAAATGACCTTCAGATTGGTACCATAGTCACTGATGACCTGAGCATAGGGAAGAAACTGAATTAGGGGAACATTGAGCATGCAATGCTTCAGCTACATAGTGAAACTGATCACAAACTAGGCCATTAAGAGCCAAAGAATGGTGCAGAACCTACTGAGCATTGCAGTAGTTCTCCAGCTGTGAGAATGGGTTTTCCAGTGACTCTAAGTAAAAAACTAGGAGATGTAGAAGGACCTATCTCATAACCACCTTATCCAGGACATGCCTTCCAAGTGGAACACATTGTTCCATGTGCTTGAGTGATTCATTGTGCAAAAAAGAACAATTAACATAATGACCACTGAGTCTAACTTCAGAGAACTGATCAGCTGTAACCAGTGAAAGGTCATGCAGTCTGTTTGTGACACATTGAGACCCTTGGATGAGCACCCACATGTCCACTTTGAGCCAGGTTATCCCCATGATCCACATTTTCAGCAGGAAGTTTGAGATGCTGTTTGGGGAGATTATGGGCATGACACCATGCTGAAGTTGCTGAAGGAAGCCCTAGTGAAGTATCTGTCTACCATCCTCCACCATCCCATGTTCTTCTTTGGCATTCTGTGGATTCTCACTACAAATCCTCCCTATTTACAGAGGAGAAGGTAGAGAATACAGGCAAGACTAGAAATAATGAATTCTACCTCAGAGGACACAGCCATCTCCAATAACTGTGACTCAGGGTCCAGTTGAGATACTGTGATAGAGGGTAGAACCTATGGTTGCTCATGACCAAGATGAAGAGAAGAGACCAGATGAGGAAAATAACCTGAAGACATGGTACTTGTGTATTTGGAGGAGGTGCTGGAGCACAGGTGTGAGTCACTCACCTACTCTCACCATTAGAGAGATCATGCAGACTGTTAGGGTCTGTAAACAAGTCAAGATGGCACCTGGCATTTTGCCAGAGGGAGTGGTTTGTGAAGTAACGCCAGAGAGCCATTAAGTGTGGAGATTCCTTATTGGTTGACTGCTGTATCTAGTTTATGTTAATTAAGATAAGCTGTGTGCGATGTATATATACCCCTCCTGTCCTACAATAAATGGCTCCCACTCCTGCTGTATCAATGTACACAAGTTGTTCGTCACCCCCCCGGTTAGTTTGCTGCAGCCAGACTGCGGCAGCAGACATAAACTAAGTAAAAATTTTTCTGAACTAAAAAAAAAAAATAATCAAATGGACCTAATAGACATCTGGAGAATATTTCATCTATCATCAATACATAGAACATTTTCTAAAGTAGACCATAATTTACAACAGAAACCAAATTTTAGTAAATTCAACCACTAGGGATAATTTCTTATGTCCTATCAGAATACCATGCCATTTTTGTTACTATGTCTCCACAGTATAGTTTTAGGTCTGGTATTGTGATGCCTCCTGCTTCACTCTTCTTGCTATGGATTGCTTTGGATACTCTGGGTCTCTTGTTTTTCCAAATTAATGTAATGATTGTTTTTTCTGTTTCTATAAGGAATGACATTGGTATTTTAATTAGAATCCTGTTGAATCTGTATAGCTTTTTGGGTAGTATGGCCATTTGACAATATTAATTTTGCCTATCCAAGAGCATGGGAGATTTTTCCATCTTCCAAGGTTGTCTTCAATTTCTTTCTTTAGTATTCAGTAGTTTTCCTTCTACAGGTCTTTCACCTCTTTTGTTAAATTGATTTATTGATTGGAGTGTATTTTTTTAGGTTATTGTGAATGAGGTGGTTTTCCTAATTTCTCCTTCAGAGGATTCATCAGTGATGCATAAAAATGCATTTGATTTATGGGTATTGGTTTTATATCCTGCTACTTTGTTAAATTTACTTATTAAATCTAGAAGCTTTCTGGTGGAATTTTTTTGGATCTTCTAAGTATAAAATCATGTCATTGGCAAATAGTGATAATTTTGAGTTTTCCTTTTCTTATTTGTATCCCTTTAATTTCTTTCATCTGTCTAATTACTCTGGCTAGAGTTTCAAGGACAAGGTTGAATAGAAGTAGTTAAAGAGGTCATCAATGTCTTGTTCCAGTTTTTAGAGAGAATGCTTCCAATTTTTCTCCATTAAGAATGATATTGGCCTTGGATTTAGCATAGACAGCTTTTACAATGTTGAGGTATGTTTCTACTATCCCTAGAATTTTTTAGTGTTTTGCATATGAAATGGTGCTGAATTTTGTCAAATGCTTTCTATGCATCTATTTATATAATCATATGATTCTTTTCTGTAAGTCTATTGATGTGGTGAAATAACCTTTATTTATTTCCATATGTTGAACCAACCTTGCATCCCTGGGATGACCCCCACTTGATCAGGTGCTCTATCTTTTTACTATGTTTTTGTATGTGATTTTCAGAATTTTATTGAGAATTTTTGCATCCATGTTCTTCAGGGGTATTGGTCTGAAGTTTTCTTTCCTTGATGAATCTTTGTCTGGCTTTGATATTAGGGTGATACTAGCTTCATAAAATGAGTTTGGAAGAATTCCCTTCTTTTCTATTTCATGAAATAATTTGAGGAGTATTAATATTAATTTTTCACTGAAGGTCTTGTAGAACTTGGCTGAGAATTTTTCTGGTCCTGGGCTTTTCTTGATTGGTAGGCTTTTGATGGTGTCTTCTATTGCCTTGCTTGAAATTGATCTGTTTAAATTTTGTATGTCCTCCTGATTTAGTTTGGGCAGATCATATGCCTCTAGAAATTTGTTGGTGTCTTTGAGATTTTTTGTTTTATTGGAGTATAAATTTTCAAAATAATTTCTAATTGTCTTCTTCATTTCAATAGTGCCTGTCATAATGTTTCCTTTTTCATCACGAATTTTAGTAATTTGAGTTTTCTATCCCCTTATTTTCATTAGGGTTGCTAAGGGTTTGTTTATTTATCTTTTCAAAGAACCAGTTTTTTGTTTTGACAATTTTTTCAGTTGTTTCCTTTTTTTTTCAATTTCATTTATTTCAGCCCTGATTTTAATTATTTTCTGTCTTCTACTGCTTTTGGTGTTGATTTGTTCTTTTTTTAGGACTTTGAGATGTAATGTCAGGTTGTTTATTTGTTGAGTTTTTCTTCTTTTAATGAAAGAGCTTAATGCAATGAACTTTCCTCTTAGCATTGCCTTCATAGTGTTCCAGAGATTTTGATATGTTCTATCAGAGTTCTCATCTACCTCTAAGAATTTCTTTTTATTTCCTCCCTGATATCTTCAGTTATCCATGCATCATTCAATAGCATGCTATTTAGCCTCCAGATGTTAGAGACTATTTTTTATTTCATTTTTTATTTCATCATTGATTTCTAATGTCCTTACATTATGGTCAAATAGAATGCAAGGTAGTATCTCTATTTTTTCCTATTTGAAAAGACTTGCTTTGTGACATAACATATGGTCTTTTTTGGAGAAGGATCCCTGGGCTTCTGAGAAAAAAGTATATTTGCTCACTGACGGATGGAATAATATATATAAAGTCTAAATCATTGATCATATTATTGAGTTTTATAGTTTCTTTGTTTAGTTTTTGTTTGGAGGATCTATCCAATGGTGAGAGAAGTGTGTTAAAGGCACACTGTTATTGTGGTCCATTTG